CCCCAAAACCCCAAAACCCCAAAACCCCATGATAAAGGATATTTGGATTATAGAGAATTAAATTTTTGTTTGAAATAAAAAAGTGACTGTATGCATAATTATTCATAAATATAATTTGAAAGAGTTTTTAATGAAGTATGTTCATTTCCACTTCCTAAATTAAAATCAAACAATTTAAAGATTTGATGAATATATCTCCTAACCTTGTTACTAGTTCGATTAATTAGTTGGAGTTGAAGAATTCTCCTCAGTTCTCTAATCACTCGCAGACTCCAGTGTTATCTCAGTAATCACCGAAGTACACGCACGAACCGATTCACTCGATATCAAACATCAATATCAAAGTCAAAAGCAAAGACAATCAGATGTTCGATGTGAGTGGCACGAACCTCCACCTTAATATGATGAGCAATAACGGAGCAGGAGGGCAGCTTACAGACACTTCTTAGAACTAATCAAATACCAAGGAGAGAAACCGAACTCCCATTCGAGATCAATTACTCAAGAAGGTAAATGTAAGCATTCATTAAACATTAATCCATGACTCAACTAAGAACATAATCCTGTATAGAGTGGAAAGAAAGTGAATGGAGTTAAGCAGCAGTAGTAATAACCCTAGCCAATACAGCAGCTGAATGGCAGTTTTAAGCAGAAGAGCATAAGCGAACTCAGAAGCAATCAGTCTAGTTTAATGATGGATAGAAATTCGTCTCATGGAAATATATATGTAGAGATTGGAAGAACTCCCTCCAGGCAGGGCTCTGTAAAATACAATGAGAGTTTCAACAAAAATTCACCCAGCAATACAAAAAGGTAAGTTCTAATCTCATTTTGCATTACATCGGATATTATTTTAAGGATATATGAATATCCTTTTTAGTATTTAGATCGATTTGATGCATCTTATTAATATAATTGAATTATATTTTACTCATTGGTTATAGGTAAAGGGTATTATCGCAACCTCATTTGCAAAGCGTTGAAAAATTATATGAAGAGGATATTAGATCTCCAAACTTTAATTAATAGACTGATCAAATTGACTAGCTGATAATAAGACCATAAGTAAGCAAAAATAGGGATATTCATAGTTCTCCAAGGATTGTAAGAGTTAGTAGATATTTTGAATGAATATATAGCAAGGGATTTTAGGAAGTGGTATGACTTCTGGAATCATCTCGCCAATGGTATCCTAGAGATATGATATATATCCGAATCTACGAATAATGCCTGGTACTAGTTATTTGATAAACAGATCTCCTTAGCTTAGTAACTTCAGTTAAGGATTCTAAGTTGACCCAGCTATTTACCTCAAGCAAGATATTATCCTAATGCAGTTGAAGGATCAAAATGAGATGTTTGATATAACAATTAAAGAAATACAAGTATTCCGAGAATTAAAACGCCAGCTAAAGCAGAAAATGGGTCTTAAACATTATAGAATGAGCGGCTAGCACAGATAGGTAATGATTAACAAAGGGGTAGGGCATCTAAATCCAAATATCAGGCCAAAGAGTGCAAATAAGCTGCACATCAATATGGATAAAAAGAATAAGTCTAAGGAGTTTAAGAACATGCTGATGAGCAATTTTTACTAATACCTTAGAGCTATGGGTTTAGGCAAAGCAATGACTAAAGAGTAGAAGTAGCTGTATATGAAGCAGAATAATCCACCTCCAAAGACTTAATAAAGCTAAAATCATGGTAATAACCAGATTCCTATTTAGGCGAATCAGTAAATTAAGCCTCAAACAGGATAAATAGATATGGGGACCTAGCATAACCTAATGCCTGAGCCACAAACAGTCACTTCAAGCAATCATCAAAATACCTATACAGTATTTAAGAGACTCAGTAGGCAATATAAATTAAACTAAACTGGCTAGGTAGAAGATCTTACCCAGTAGATTCTGAGTAATGGTGGATTATCAGATAAAAACAAGAGTGAAGGCAGTGCCTATCATTTTTCTTTGAAGCATTCAGCAATGGCTAACATCTCAAGATAGGAGCAAGAGAATATAGATTTAAGGAATCTAATAAATATCAATTCAATCCACAGTCTAGGGTCTTAGAATAATGACTAAAGGCCATTTTCAGCTCTGACTGCCTAGGGATAGGCTATCTTGTCTTAAGGCAAGGAAAACAGTGGAGCTTATGGAAATGTCCTCAGTAGATACGCCCAAAATTTCGATGATGATTCACTTGAAAGAAACGTGATGAGACCAGTACTGACTTCACACTAAACCAAGAAGGATGCTTCAATTTAAAATGATAGGGAAATATTAACAACCTAGGAATATGCCAGCAATAGCTCTCCAACTATAAATAAATCCTAACTTAATCAAGATTTATCGGAGGTGTAACCTACTTCACAGGCATAAGCTACAACTAAACCACGAATCTAGTCTAAGGTGAAAATACCTGCAGTAAAGCCATTATGGATAGTATCCACCTCTAAGCAAAAAAGATTAAACATTACTGATGTTTAAAACAAGAGAGGCAACTTAGTATATGATTATATCTAGCAAGCTAAAAAGCAATTCAACAGGAATGAGAACTCCTATATTGATTAAGCTATTGTTATCGGTGAGAAGCATGAGGGATTAGAAAGACTCAGCACACCAAGTGGCTGCTTTGCATTAGGCCAAAACATATCCTTTGATAGAAGTGGGATCAATACTCTGAAGATGCAGACTTTCTACTTGGACATTAAGGAGGATGGAAATGAAAGTTAATGCAGTTATGTCCCGAAACTTCAAAACTCTCAGATCAAGAGATACTTCTACGGCAGTAATCATAAGAGAAAGCAATCAGCAAATGATAATGATTCTAGTAGCAACTAAAATCAAGACTCAAAGAAGAAGTTTTACTATAAGTCAATCAATATGGACCTATAGAACAACAGTTTCTACTAGACACCTATGTTCAACAAAGACGGTGCTGACTTCATGATAGAGGGATAGGAATATGAAAAGTAAATCTAGAAGAAGCTATCCACTCTTGAAGCTGTGAATGAAAATGAATCCTCTGGGGTATAGTTAGAAATCATATCTTCGGCGCCTGAAAGTGAAAAGACTGCTCAGCAGTAGACAAGCAAAAAGAATATACTGATTAGCAAGAAATCAGTTTCGCCTGTTATCAGGCAAATGAGTCCACCTACTCTAGTATCACCAACTAACCAGGCTATTGAGAAGCCAATGTTTTTACAGCAGTCACATATCCTAATTCAGGGTGGGAGTATGACCAACTCTGACTAGAACCAGTTGATTGCTGACCCTGATCAGCAGGACTTAGTGCTGTTGGAACACATTAGAGAGGAAACTGGGGAGTCCTTTGACAGCGGCCACGCAGAATCATCTCACACTATGCAGTCTAACTTCCAGCATCATCACTCGACTCACTTCAGATTTATCTAGAAAGAGCACGATAAGACTGTGAATCTGCTATCTAAGTCTTATAACAATGGGCATTTGCTCCCAATGGACGATACTGAGTATCACTATCTGCTTCAAAACTAGGAAAATAAGTCATTGACTTAGAGAGATTTAAATCCAGTGCATAGAACTACGAATACAAACTCACTCACGCAGATAGTCAATCACAGTAACTTCGGACAGGTCAAGAGTAAATCCATTAATGAGAATCATATTCATCTACTATCAATGAATCATTAGCATGATCCACACACTATTCTCAGCAATAGAGTCATTTATAAAAATCGAGACAGAATGGTGAAGAAGCGTTCATCCTCTTAGAAATTTCACAACTAACTGCTGAAATAAACAATCATAGACTTTACGAATATCAACATCAACGACGGCACTTAGGAGGAATAAATCACTAGAAACCTGAGTTAGATGAACTTGAAGAAGTCCAGCAAGACTCCGACAACCAGAGTCATTAGCAAGATAGGAGGAAACACTGTTAGCATTAATAATAACAACTAGGGAGATATCAATAACAGCAACATCAACCCACATGCAAACATCAATAATAACACAATCAGCAATAATCAGCAGATACCTTCCAACGGAGAGTCTCAGAGTTCATACAATGGCGAGTTGTAGAATGCAGTGCCGACTTTACTTGTGGAAAGAGAGGGATTCCTAGAAACTCCTAGATACATGCTGAAGCAGGGAGGAAAGCAGACATATGTCGAGATAAATGGACTCTAATAGCTGTAGGGGATGGTAGCGCACCATCATCATAATCATGGAATTATAAACTTACAGAACAGTATGCGTTTAAGTGGAAACAGTGCAATAGGCAAATCTGCACAAGTAAGCAATAGTAATAACTTCAACGAGGGAACTTTCATGGTACAAAGCAGAAAGGAGTCTTCATTTGAGATCAATAATGTCCCTTCTAAAGCACAGAATAGTAATGGATTGGATTTGATGCAAAGATCTAAGGATCTCTACTCAGTATATAACCCAAATGAGATATCTGTTAAATACAACGCTAATAAGACTAAAGCTTAGTCTCAGCCACCAATCACTAACTAACCACATAAGGTGCACATTTAGAGTAAGCCTAGAGAAGTCAAGAAGTAATAGGAAAAATCAGGTTACTATCTCGCCAATCTTCTAGAAATTCCCGCTGACATTATTCCAAATACTCTAAACCACAGTTAGAATAGTGAATCTAGGTCTATATCTTCTTAAAATCACAATAATATACAATAGCAGCAGTAGCATATGAAGTAAGCGTACTTGTAACATTAAAGAGACTACAAGATCAAGCAAGAGAAGAGATATTCTGAGATGCTAAAGAGGAATATAAGTGTCCTAAGACGACAAAAGAACAGGTCATACACTGGAAGAATTGGGGACAGAAACGACCCAGTTCAAAACTATGGAATGATAGTTGGAATTGACTAGGCAGCTTATCTGAATAAAGGTATGTAGGACCTTCAATTCAATTAGAATAGGCTGGGTACCTCTCATCTTGATAAACATAGATTACCTTACACTAAGCAAGTGAGTGGTGACGACCTCGTCGATCAGCAGTATAATTCTATTTCAACTATAAATAGGCCTAATACAGGTATGGACATATATCAGTCCTAAAAAGAACCAAAGATTTTGAAATAAGAAGGGACAGTATCTCCTCTTACTCTGTTTAACCTTAGTCCCAAGAAAAAAACAGAGGCAGATGATGAATAAAATACAGTAAATATCTCCTAGTTTGGTTCAGCAGTCAAGAATAGCGTAAAAACAAGCCCAATAAAGAATACTGTTGTTATCAAGGATAATAATTAAAACTAAAATCTCATGAGTGATGCATAGATACATGGAGTGTCTCTTTAAGAGTACTTTAAAAAGAAGACTGACAGCAGTGTGAAATAAAGAGAGGGAGCAAATATAAGCAAATTAAGCAATAACAACCTTAATCACTCCTTTACTCCACTTTATGACTTGAGTGTTTCTAATAACGAAAGCGTTATGCTCAGCAAGCTCTAAGTGAACTAGAGTGATATTCTCAACTTGACAGAGTTAAATAATACGCAAAGATAGATTATTAGGAATAAGAACATGCACTAGGAATTCAATAGAATTAAGTTTGTGAGTGACTCTAGAGAGATGATTGAAAGTGCGACTCATGTGATAAACAATAAAAACAATAACTCAATGAGGTCGGCATTACAAATGCCCAAAATTGGTTCAAACACCTCTAATGCTATGAACATCACTCAGGATCATTCTAGCAAGGTTCATAACACTAGCAGTATATTTCAGAAAAATAAGATATTTGGAGTGATGAGCAGCAATATCACTCCTATAAACAATCATAATGCAATGAGCAAGGGCAACATCAGAAGTTCAAGTTCCCGCTATAGATTCAGAGAAGGAAAGTAGTCTAACTCTAATATGTCAAACACAACTCATTCTCAAACGAACAATCAGCATTTTAGAGGTAGTTCAGCCATATCTAATTCAAGTTTATAGCTGAATGGAAGTCATCTACTGGTCAGCACTAGACCTTAATCCAAATTATCATCTTCGAGGACTGGAGGTTTCTTCACTCCTGCTGCTCAACCCAACAAAACTAACTACTGATTTACACATCATAGACAATTAGCTTAATTAGCAGAGATATAAGTTTATTATAATAACGATTATTGATTTCATAATCCTTGTCATTTCAGATATTTCCCTGCATTGGGGTTTTGGGGTTTTGGGGTTTTGGGG